GTGGAGGAGCCCCTCCAGCCGCCGATCGTGCGCAGGAGGAGGACGGGGAGGAGGTGGAAGCCGCCACCGGCTGCCGCCTGCGCGTGGGGCTCCAGCGCTGCGTCCTCGGGCTTTCCGGGCTGCAGGCGGCGCTGCGAGGCCCCGGGAACTTGTTGAGTCTACCCAGGAGCCGCGGGTGGACGAGAACCCCTTGGTTTCTCTCCCAGGAGAGGGTCGCCCGCCTGGGAACCCGCCGCCCCAGGCAACCCCGCGGGGCGGTGAATGCCCCAGTCGCGCGTGGGCGTGGGGTGAGGCTCCCGCCCCCTCACCTGCAGACTGTGCTCTGGAGACGCTGGGGGTCAGCATCAAGGAGGCGCGTTTCTCTACCGGGTCCACCCGCAGTCCACTTCTTCAAATGAGCTTGGTGGCCTGGGGACAGAGTGGAGAGTGTCTGCCTGCCTGCCTGCCAGGTCTGTGGCATGCTGACAATATGGGGACACTCCAGGCATCTAGACCTCCCAGTCTGGCCTTCCCACACCCTGCAGAGGCGGGGGCGGAGGGGGGGAGTAGGGGTTGCATGTTTCTTTGAGGGCCAAGTTAACTTCACTCGAGGAAGACATTTCTCTACAATGTACAAGCAACTACCCCATCACTTACCCCCAACTCCACCGTATTCTCTTGGGAGCTCAGAGCTGAGTGTTCAGGGTCCTTTCCTGGTGCCTAGCAGGCCCTGGTGGCTGGCCCTGGGACTGAACGTGTCTGGCCTTAAGTCTTCTGGCTCCTCGGTTTTCTCGTAGGACACACTTGAAAGTAGCCACACTTTCCGAGGAGGGGACCAAGTACAGTGGCCGGCTGTGGCCAGTGAGGTGGGAGTTCGAAGGGGAACTACTTTGATCCAGGCCCCCTCCACCTCATCAGGCAGGAAATGCCCTCACATTTGTGCCTGCACATTCCTGAATGCCGGCACTGAGCATCATGTCTGTGCTCCAAGCCAAGCCGGCGTTCAGTGTACTGAGCAGGCCTAGTTTCCTGCTTTATATATAGTGTTTGCCCTTCATGAAGGTTTTCTATGAGCTACCTCACTATGTGTGGCTGCTTAAGGAGATGCATCCACATGTGCCAGAAGAAAAACATTCTAAAATATCCTCCCTCCCCACCTCCCTCTCAGTACCCTTTGGGATACAGCCCCATGCTCCTTGGGGTCTAGACATCCTCAGGAAGGGAGTGCCTACCTAGAGATCTAGTCTTTACCCATCCCACTCTTGAATGTCCTTTGGAACCTAGATCGCCCAAGTCTAATTGTGGCTCTTATTTCTCTAACTGCCCAGGAAGGCTGGTGGGAGCTGGCTGGAGAGACGGGCCTGGTTATGAGTGAGCACCTTTTAAACATGAGTTTAGAATCTGCTGCCCAAAAGAAAGCCAGAAGAAGGTGTGTGGAACTTGGAGCTGTGTAACAGCAATGACCAGGTTCCTGTGCAGCATGTCCCCTGGAGGTGTGGTCTTACAGCTGTGACCTCTGGGAATTCTGTCAGGGGTCTGGGGAACTTTCTGTAAGTCTTACTATTCTAGTTTGCTTTCTGTTGCTGTGATGAATCATGGACCAAAACCAACTTGGGGAGGAAAGGGTTTATTTCAGCTTACAATTCCCAGACATACTACTCCTTCACTGAGGGAGGTCATTGCAGGAACCTGGAGGGATACTGAAGCAGAAACCATGGAGAAGGAGAGCTTACAGGGTTGCCCCTTGAGGCTGTGCTCAGTCTGCTTTCTTTCTTTTTTTAAAAATATATATATTTTATTTATTATTTTTATTTTATGTGTATGAGTGTATTGCCTGCATGTAAGTAAGTGTACCGGTGTCATACAGTGCAGCGGAGGTCAGAAAAGGGTTTCAGATTCCCCTGGAACTAGAGTTAAGGACAGTTTGTAGCTGCCACGTGGGTGCTGGGAATCGAACCCGAGGCCTCTGCAAGAGCAATCAGTGCTCTTAACCTCTGCGCCATCTCTCCAGCTCCTCAGTCTGCTTTCTTATACAACCCAGGACCACCTGTCCGGAGGTAGCACCAACCACGCAGAGCAGACTGGGCCCTCCCCACATCACTCAACAATCAAAATACCTCAGGAGAATACCTCAGAGATATACGCCCACAGGCCAGTCTGATAGAGGATATTCTCCAATTGAGGTTCGCTTTTGCCAGGTGACTCTAGTTTTGTGTCATGCTAAAACCAAACCAAACCAGCACACTTGCCTTATTGTTAATCCATAAACTCCAAAATCTGCCTTCTATCGCTGAAACACATCACTGTAAACCTGTCTGGGAAACACGAAGCTGAATGTTTGGTTTACTGAATAAAATCAGATAAGCGGAAAGATCTGCACGCGGCACTGTGAGCTGCTTAGAAAGGATCTCCAGGACCAGTGTTGGTGGAGAGCTTCCTAAGGTACCTGTCGGGGGAAAGTGGAAGGCGGTTTCTGGCAGGATAGAAGTCCCACTCAAAGTGGAAGAGGATTTAACTGAGCTCCAGTGCCATCACCTAGACTGCTCAGAGTTCTCCAGTTGTCCCGTCAACTTCAATCATTTCCAAATCTGTTGTTTTCCCTTCCTCTTGTTAAGGTTTAGATGTAAAATGCCCCCACCTCCACCCCCACCCCCTCCAGGCTCTGTGTTTCCTGTGATAGTGATGTTTGGGGAAGTTGTGGAGCTCCTGGAGCTGGAGCCTATCTGAAGGAAAGCCTGTTGCTGAATGGTGCTGAGGGGCCTTGAGGGTTAGAACTGGGCTGCCTTCCTGCCCTTCTACCAGAGATTGAGGATTCCCTGCCTCATACAGCTATGGCCATGTCACTGCCTGGGAGAGCCTGTCACCTCCCTGCCAGGATGGACTGTGCTCTCTCTAGCCAGGAGCCCAAACAAATCCTTCCTTCCTCCAGTTACTTTTGCCATGAGTTTTATCACAGCCATGAGAAAAGTCACTAAGACCTTCTTTTTGATGTAAGAACCCATTTACCTATTGCTGGGGCTGGAGAGATGGCTCAGCTGTTAAAAGCACTGACTGATCTTGTAAAAGACCCAGGTTTGATTCCCAGCACCCACATGGCAGCTAACAACCATTTGTAATTCCAGTTCCAGGGGAATCTGATACCCTGTTCTGACTCTTGTGGGCATTGCAGGACACGGGTATACTTACACACATGCAGGCAATACACTCATACACATAAAATAATAATAATAATAGTAAAAGAACCACCAATTTACCTATTGCATTACTAATTCACCATCACCAATTCAGAATGTGTTTCACTGGACATTTGACGATGGATGGGTATTCCACCCAGAGGAGCTTGATGCACCGTCATGCTCTGACTCTTAAGGCAAGTATTGTGTTGCGGCTGTCTGGGAAAAGAAGACCTGGCCTCCTTTACCCACAGACCCTTTTCACAACATTGTTTGTTCACAGACCGAACAGATGTAGATATTAAGGGTTTATAATGAGTCTTTATGTTCAGCTTCTGCAGAAAAAGAAAGTGGATTCATTTTAGGAATCCATTAGGTATAAATTGGTTTCTTAGATTTTGCTTCGGAATTTTGCTACAAAAGGTAGTCTTGCAAAGGGGAAAATGGCCATTTGTAAAGTGAGATTTCCCACAGGCAGAGACATCCAGAAAATAAAACTACAAGAAAGTGCATGACAGCTAACTAACCAAAACAGAGTCTCTGTTCTTTCAACCACTTCTTGGAAGTGTGCACATTCTGGAATTCCAAATCAGTGAATCAGGGATGTAGCTCTGGTAGTAAAACGCTTGCCTAGGAGGCCCAAGGCCCTGGGTTCAATCTTCAGCCTTGCATAGACCAGGCGTTGTGTCTACATGAAAATTCAGCACTTGGTAGGTGGAGGCAGGAGGATCAGAAGTTTAAGGTCGTCTTTGGTTAAATAGCAAGTTGGAGGCCAGCCTCGGCTTTAGGAGACCCTTAAAAACAAAACAAGCTGTAGTACAAAAGAGAGAGAGAGAGAGAGAGAGAGAGAGAGAGAGAGAGAGAGAGAGAATGTTTCAGAATGTTCAGAGCTATCATTTATTTTAGTTCTAAACTGGAAATAACCTATACATCCATCAATAGCCAAATGATAGGAATTCCTTGGCCTTTGCAAAGTAGGGAGCATCATCTAGCAACAACCATAGATGCATTACACATGCAGCAGGGGAGGATTTTTACAAACATTCTGCAGAACAAGGGTGTGTATATCACAGGCTTCATTCAAATGAAATCCA